TCAAGTTTCCAGAGGCTAAGCCCCACCTAGCTTTCTATTTAAGACAAATAAGCTATATAAATTTCTATATTGCACCTCAAAGAAGATGCTTTCATTTATTAAAAAAAAGGATCTACCTAAAATAAAAGGATCAAATTTTGTCAAGCTTCTAAACAATTCCCTGCAAAGTGAAAGACTACACAAATGCTCAAGAAACAGTACTAAGTCAGTGACTGATGCTCTGAAAAATGTGGGCACAATTGAACCTAAGCAATAATTGGATGGAACTTAGGAAAAAAAATATATTATTTTCCCCCACATGGGTCACAGAGTCTAACAAACTTCCTTGAGTCTTTGAAAAGAATCTCAGAAGCAAAATGAACAAGTACCAGGCAGGTCCCCACAAAGGTATGAGAGAGGCAGAGACAGCAAGACAGTGAGTGAGTGCAAGACAGTGAGCAAGAGAACCAAGAAGGAAGGATCCCATTTACTGTGGGACAGAGCGCATGGCAGCTACTGCAGGAACTCTTTACTAGGGAAAAGTTTTAATCTTTGATGTCAGAGCTCATATGGAATATTTATAGTCATTACAATGTACTTTAACATTTTATGATAAAATGTTGCATAGATGATATTAACTTTATGTTCGTTAGTTTTGTTTTCATTTCCTGAAAATTTATCAGACATGTCTTACAAAAGAAGATAATTTGCAGCATGGGTAGGATGTGAAATTAAAGACTGTGTTATACCACATACTGATAGCAGTTTCAAATGATTCTCTAGTTAGCATTGAACACTGCTGAAGAGAAGCTAAGCCAAGACTTAAACAGAACTCTAGTGTGGTGATGAATGGCGACCTGCCATGAAAGGGGGATAGCAGTAGTTTTTTCATTATTTTAGAAAATTAGATTTAACTTAGAGGTAGTGATTCCCTGTGAGCCACTTCCTCATTTTAAAGGTGCTAAATTACCCATCTCACAGATAATCAAGTTGTTATAACATCACCTATATTATTTACAGTTGGATTTTTTTTTGAATTGCTCCTATTATGCAAAGCAAAGAACAGATAATATATTTTGGATTTCTATTTAAAACACTGCATTATTTCCCCTGTTCAAATCTGTAATGCTATTATGGGTCTGGTTTCCATTTATCAAGCACCAACATTTTCTTCTGCTTCACAGAGTACTCCAAATATATGCAGTTTTCTCATTTGGATATTATTAATTTTTCCACATATCATATGCTAATAAATTCCTTTACCTGAGGATAAAAGGACATATCTATAGTAGTAATAACATTCATAATAACCCCAATGGTAATTTCAACAGTTTCCAATATTTATTAGGTGTTTTCTTTGTGCCAAAGTCTTCGAAGTGTTTTACTACATTAATTTATTAAATACAATCATTCTACAAGGTAGATACTATTATTAATTTTATTGCATAAGATTAGATTATATATAAGATATATAAGACAGATGAGAAAATGAGGCACAATAACTTGTCCAAATAAGCTCTTCAAAAGAAGAACTTAGGATGCTTTAATAGGAAAGATATTCTTGAGAAGCATGTGGGCCCTTATAAGAGGTATTTACTAAAGAGAAGTACTATATATTTTTATGCTTGAAACTTTAATAAAAGCACATCCAAACCAGAAAATAAAACATAGTTATATGTCCCCCAATTTATCACATGAATAAGCATGGTTGTTTGTATTTGACATGGTGTGGTTTATTCTTTGTCATTTCTAACTCTCATATAGATAAATCCATATAAACCGGGACTGTTTCAATCACATCTAATTTTACTAGTTATACAGTGATACAATAAATAGTCTGCCATTAATTGACATTCCTAGGTTTCTAAGAACCTAGGAGATCAGTACATCATCAATGGAATCTGTTATGGATAGATGTTAGGGATAGATGCACCTTACTTCTGTAGAACACTAATACATTTGTATCACTGATAGATAATTGATGAGTTAATACCTCAGTGATAACTCAGAAGTGAATGAGGTGAGAGCTATAGAAACTGAGTCTTAGGGGTCACCATTATGTAACTAGTCAGTGATAGAACTATAAAAGAAACCCAAATTTTCTTGTTCTTCATCAGTTGGTTTTGTCCATTTTTCTTTTCTAATTTTAATACAATTCTTCTTCTGGACTTCAGATTCCATAGTATGAACCATACTAGCATTTATTACTTTTATGCAATATAAGCTTCATATTTGAAAACATTTATCTATAAGTCATTGGAATAAATCCTATCACCTCTCTTCTTTAGGAATTAATGTTTCTCTTTAGAATTGCTGAAACATGGAGGCAATCCTGAAGGTAACTTGATTGGTAAAAAACTTCAATTGTGTTTCCATACTGCTTTTTCAACAATTCAAAAATTGTGAGCATTTTGTAATTAGTCCCTCCTTGAATTTATTCTGTATTTTCCCCTTATAAATTAAATGACTGCAATTTGGAAACCTGTCATGAACTGTCACACGTTTCAGGAGTTCAGTAAGCACATGAATGTGTCCATGCACAATTCCTGATTCTTAACACTTTTCCCCCATTATCTGTCAGTGGAAGTAGAAAATAAATTTGCTCTATTAAAGATAAACAACATAACCCCGTGGCAAATCCCAGTTTTTTTCTTTAGTGTGTGTCGTGTCACTCTGAAAAGGTGTATGAATAAAGTGGTCAGCCCTGCAGAACAAAGAGTACCAAGAAAATTCCCCAAATAAAACCTTCAACCAATGTCATTTAAGTTATCCCCACTGGTGGGAACCAAAACAAGTACATTATGCATAAGGACATGACATTTTAACATACTTGAAAAATATGACTTTTTTTTTTTTAATCAAAGCTCCCTTCATAGCAGAATCCTAGGTTAGCAGTTCTTTATTCCAGTTGCCAGCATTCATTTTCTCATCCATGTTTAAGATATAGGATGATTGCATGCCCCTTAAATATCTGCTGGCTGAGGCTTAGTCTAAGATAAAATGCTGTTCATATGTAACCTAGATTAAAGCTCTCTGTATAGTTCATAAATTTCAATTAAATGTTTTAAGCCTTTTGCATAACACTAAAAATTGAAAGTCTTTTGGTTTCTAGGTCAGCTCTAGATTTGGGGTATATTTGCGGGCACAAAGCTATAAAAAGGTAGGTTTTAGTCTGCTTCAAGTGCTTTGGCTTTTAAACTGTAAAAACAATATAGGAATGAAATGTACATAGCTTCCAACTACAATAACAAGAATACAAGAAGGGGTATTCTTTGTCCTTTGACGTACTTTACTGTTAAGATGGTAGGAAATAACAGGTTAAGGAATATAATGACAAAGTGGGAAAAGTACAGGGAAGTAGTAGTACTGAATGACCTAATTCTGAGTGGAAGTAACACCATAATATAGAAAAGGCAGTCTGACAAGTTCTCTAACCAAGATCATGCCAAATGGGGTCTTAATTTATACTCTTTTGCTTTATTTACATAATTCACTTTGCTCACTCCTGGAAAAAAAGTGATTTCACTATTTTGTGACTTGGTTTAGTTCTTATTTATGGTGGAGATAATTTAAAGAGACTTGAGACAAAAAATACTATTAATTCCTTTCAATTAAAAATGAGTAATAAAATTGAAATATAAACCTGATATTCTAGTTATCCACATATACTAATAACAATTTCTAAACTTGTTTCAAATGTAGTAATTGTCTGTTTGACACTATCCTGATTTAACTAGCATTGGTGAAAATGATAAACCTGGTCAATCTTTTCCAGTAGGGAAAAAGACGAATTCTTGGACATTTAGTATCTTCAATCACCTCAAAAAAGAATTGTAATATATTCCAATAAAATAGTAAAATTGATTGTGAGAACTTTACAAAATATATCTTTGCCCCATAACACCATTTTAAGGAGGGGGAGAACTATAAGTATGGCCTTGCATACTTCTTCCTCCTATACTAGAAATAAATGTACTAGTTGCCTTCAGTGCTTACTGCAACAAATTTGAAGTAGGGACCCACATTCAAATTAACTCTGGACACCAAAGAAGCGAGTAGAACTTGGTCAGAGCTATGATAGAAATTAGCGATCATCATAAATTTTGCAAGCAGATAAAAGATACTCAAGCAAATGTAGACAAAAATGTTTGAAATTTAAGGTTCTACAAAGGGTTGGGTCTGACATGGATATTTGCCATTTTAGAAAAAAACTGGAAGAGATTGAACACTGGTCTTTCAAGTGTGAAAAGACCACAAAGCTATCGAGGCACCAGTGAGGATGAGTGGGGTGTAATAGGTGGTGGTCCAGGCTATGGGAGAGGAAGGAGCTAAGTGACACTGTAAACTGTTTTCTAATGACAGCAGTCAAATGTGCTACTATGGCCAAAAGGGCTACCAAAATGCTGAGAGTTGGACTTGAGGTTTATTTTTAATACACCACATGACAGGGACACACAGAAAATACCCTCCTCATTAATCCTTAAGAGAAAATAGATCTGAAGAGTAATTCCCATCCTTTCAGACAATCATTTCCTATGAAATTCATTCTTTACAATTGTGAGAAATAGATTACCAAGCAAATTAACTGTATCAGACATTTCTAATATCAGATCATCACTAGCAATAAACAGATTTATTTACAAATAAATAAAGCCCTGCCTCCACCTGCTATTCATTTTTAATTATATAACCTATTTAGTCTAAGGACATCTTTTGACATTCACATGTTCAGGTATCACCATCAACAACCATCAGTAAAATGGGCAACCCCAATTTGCTTCCCATATATAAACTATGACGTTTCCATCTAGGGAAGAAGCAAGGAAGTAATAAGGTATGCTCTTGCATTATATGATGCCAGGAACATTATGTGTTTGTCATGGTATATAAAAATGTAAAGGAAAAGTGAGTATAACCAATGCCTTAATCTTAAGTAACCATTTTCATAGGTAGCAAAAACTCTATTTCATGCACATAAACTCAAGAAAATAAAGGTATCGATAACTTCTTCATTTCCTCACCTTCTATTGCTGATAGGAGAACCCGGGAATGATCATATGCAATGACATTTGCATATCTATTCTTTGGTTTATTTACTTCCAAGTTTGAATGTTCCCAGGTGAATTGCTGGCCAGGGTCAATAGACTATAAAGGAAAAACAGCATAAACGCAAAATCAATACTGAATAACATTGGGTTACAGGCATTTATCATAACTAACGAACATGAAATAAAAGGAAATTTTGAAGTCACACTACATCAAGATGATATTAACAGTGAAGCTGAACATAATGTAACCAGCATAACATGAAATGATTAACCATAGTAAAAAAAAGGGATAGTCATCAACTTGGATTCAGGTGAAAAGAAATCAGTATAGATGTTCTGTCAAAAAAGGAAAGAAAGGCTGGTTTTTTATTTTTCACTGTTCATTTCCTTCCCAGTTGCTATAGTTTACAAGTTATCTTCGTTTAATATTCCTTTAGGTTCTGTGCACCTTATTTTATCTTGATTACTTTCTCTTACTCTCTTTTATCTGGACCTAACCTCAGTCTTTATTTTTCACTGACTTTTTAATGCTTTCCTTCTTATTTCTTTTCTTCAACGACTGGCTTCCATTTTGATGGCAACTTAAATTGGGTCTGTTTCCTCATAGTACACTATGACCAGATTCACAAGGCAATTTGGACAACATGTTAAGAGTAAGTAAAGAAAGGAGGCCCATTCAACCTAATAATCATTTTGGACAGAATATCAAATTATAGCTCAATGGAGACAGGATCCAGTTGTTTTCTATTTACTATTGCTTGTTTCCTATTTATCACCATGAGCTATGCTTACAAAGTTTGCTTCTTTTTCATTTTTAATTTTAAACTTAATTACTCCAACTTTAATGTCTTTTCTTGGTGCCTTAGTTCAATCAACAATATTCAATAATCTAAAATAAGTATCACATAGATAGAATATGTGAATATTTTATAGCTAAAGTAAGAACCATTATTTTGAAACTGAATTCAGACTTTAAAAGTGATAGGCAGCTTTTAACTTCTTGCAATGCCTGGAAATCACATCTTTTCTTACAACAAATGATATTGACACCTTGTAAAGATATATTTTCATAATACATGAAGAATGTGAGTTCAGTGATCACATAGTGATATAATTACATAGTAAATACATAGATGATCAAAATCAAGTTTTCAAAAGTATGATAAGTTTAAACAAAGGTGATCTTTCTTTTAAAAGGACAAATTTGTATTTATAGGTTAACATCTGCTTTTGATGATGGGCATTTCCCATGTTCTCATATTTATATATAAAACTCCAAAGTAAAATATACACGAGTGATGACAATATTAAAGATACAAACACTGTGCATTGAAAGAGAATTCAGTACAATAGAAAAACTCAAGCCTATTAGCAATTTCAAACAGCCTCTAAACTATTTCAACCAGACTAAAATCCTCAGCAACACAGACTGTGGCCTCTAATTTACTAAGGATTATAAAACTTTTTTTTCTTTTCTTACCCTATGCTCATTTATATACAAACTAGTCAATCAGAGAACAGTATTCAGCAAAATAATTAGCCATGCCTTAGAGTCTAAAGAATAATGTAATTAGGGGTCTTTCTAATTTGTTCTTTCAGGAATGCTCATGATCTCCCATGCAGAATTTACTCCTCTAAGTTTTCCATGCACTAAAGTGAACTGAAGCATTGAGATGCCCCGCTGGAAGCCTTCAGGTTCACTTGGAGCCTCTCCACACAAGCAGCTGTATTCAGTGACTAAGAGCTGCCCGAAATTTTCCCAAATCTACTTCAATTGTCACTTCCTAAATCTGAACCCTCCTCTAACCTTGCACTACCATCCATTCTTTTTTAAATTCTTTTTTAAAATTTTCTTACATTGTTGTTCATTTTTGTACAATATTTGACTCCCCTCAGGTGTAATCCCCATAATACTCCCACCACCACAGCACCTGTGAACCCGTGAACCATAGTCTCCTATGCCCCATTCTTTACACTACAGTGGTCCTCTACAGCTCCAGCACTGAAAATATTAGGTCCCTGTTTAAGAACTTCCACTGGCTCTAGCTGACCTACAGCGTAAATTCTAAATTGCTTAGCCACAGTCCTGTCGACACACCCTAACTCATCTTTGCATGTCTGCTGTACTGTGCTCAGTGAATGGTTAAACTTTTTTTTTAAAGATTAGTTATTTATTTATGAACACAAGAACTGGGGTGCAGGGCAGAAGTGAGGGGGTGACAGGGTTCACCAGAGACAGAGTGGGAAACAGAACAGGCAGATCGACTATTTGAAATACACTGCTGATGGGAGCAGTGGGCAAGTCAGGAGAGGTCTGCTGTGCCATGTGGGTTGCTCCCTGGCTGGCTGGGGATCGAACTCGTGCCACAGTGGCTGCAGACAGCTTCACAGTGCTGAGACTAACCCCTTGTGCCACCAGGGAGGCCCTGAACCCATGTTTTTAAAAGAATGAACTGAAATGGTAAATGAATGCTGTTGAGCGAAGTTCATAAAGAGAAATCTGAGAGTAATTCTTCTATAAAACATGGGAGTTAGAGAACATACTATAGAAGCTGCAACGTATAATGTACTAAAACTTTAATACTTTAACACTGACGATTATATGTCTGACTAATTAAGTATGTTATCCTGATATTACAACTACCACTGAATCCACTTTCCACTGATGAGAACTGCTGACTACATAAGCTTCTTACACATCATTCCCTAAAATATCCCCAGATGCTGCTAAGCTCACTGATAGGCAGTCCTTTGGTGGAAGGTATTACACCCTTTTATGGCCTTGTTATTCAGACTATTATCATTCACAGGTGCATAAAATGGCATGAATTTAATTATACTAATGAAATTGCATATCAAATCACAGACACTGTTTACTCTTGTCCAATCCCACTCTTGCCATACATTTGCAACCCTCTGTAAAATTTATTTGATACCTACGTTGAAGTGTTTAAAAACCAGTAATGGAAACATGGCTTGTATGTCACATATGTTCATACGGTTAGGCTTGAAGTATGAACCATGAGAATAGGGCCTGTAATAATAGGACAATTATAGTAGCTGCCAGGCCATTGTGCTTTACATGTAGCATCCTATTTAATTTTCACAAATGTTATAAGGTAGGTATTGAGTTTTCTCCATTTAACAGACAAGGACATCGAAGTGAAGGAAAATTAATTCAATAAATATTACTGAGGGTCTTCTCAGTGGCAGACACTGTGATATTTGGTGGTTAAGTAATTTACTCACCCAGCTAGACTCATACATTTACCTCAAACCTAGGTCTGTGTAAGTCAGAGTCTAGCTGATGATTAACAGCTGGTAATTACTAAGCCAGGATGCTACTTCACTATCCCGAAAGCCACTGTGCAATGAAGAAGCCCAACATATGAAAAACAAAAAAACAGCACTATTCTTTATTGCACTAGTCCGAATGATATTTCTTCCCAACTGATCATCCTGTGTCATTCTGGGACAATTACATAAGAAATCAAATTTTAAAAATGAGGTTGGCTTCACATGAATGATAAAACAGATGGGATACAGCTTACATTTATACTCGTTTTACACGGATCAAACAAACATTGATTAAATAATGCTGATTTGTCTTTGTGCAAAACATACTCATCCATCTGTATCTGACTGAACGTTTAACGATATACTGCATAGGTCATTATTCTGGAGTTTGTCAGAATGCTGAGAGTAGTAAACTCAGTAAAGAAGAATACTGAAAATAGATGAAGAAAATCTTTTCTATTTAGAAAAAAAATAGACCTGGCAGAGAAGAATCAAATTTCAATTACCTATGTTAAGGAGGCAAACACATTCCAGGTGAATAAGACCCTAATTCTGAAAACCTACATTTTAGGCTTTTCTTTAGTGCTGGTGGTGATCACACAGTTGCTTTGCCTTTTGTTTTCTGACTTTTCTTGTTGAGATCCTCTTAAGAATGAAATAAACCACATGGAGAAAGAGCAACACAGGTCTTGAGTGATATATAAGTAGATTTACACTTCAACCTCTTATTTTTGGCCAGCTCGCTTTGATCGTGAATCCTCCCACTATGACATTAAACTGAGGCCACCACAATGGATTTAATTTCTTCCTCCTAATAGCATTTGGTTTTTCCAAAATCAACTAACCTATTTCTACTCATCCTTTTGGTTTTGTTTATCCAAACCACTTGTGGTAGGGATCTCCCGCTTTCCCAGCACTCATTCGAAAGTTCTAACTTTGAGCTGGAATACTGACCTGTCTTTCTCAGTTTCCCCTGAGGGGAATTTTGCAAGTTGGAAACATAGCCAACTAGATTTATTCAACCACATGTTGATTCATAGAATTTTTTTGGAAAGCTATATGAAATCTGTACATCACATTATCACACAATTCATAAACAGGAGTATTTAAGAATGTTTTCATCCTAGCTGCTTTTGTTTCTCCAGGCAAGCAACAAGACCTTGAAAGAGAGGTTCACCCCGGATTCTATGTAGCATTTAAAATTTTACCAAGATGCCAAATTCTTTATTTTGCTTCACTGTCTGCACACTTGGCATCTGATACTCCCTCCCACCCAAACACTGATGGAATCATTCTAATGCTAACAATACTCAACTGTTTTGCAGCATTCCAGGACAGGTAGGTTCACTGGAGGTTCAGGTAGCTTAAAATAACCTTGGAGCCCTCAGATGCTTTCTCAGGCTTTAATGCTCTTTCTACACCAACTGTTGTGGGGCAAGCCCCACAGGCTGGCAAGTCAGGGAGGCTGGTGGCAGCAATGGGGCCTCACAGCCCCCAGCTAATTTCTCTTTAGGTTCTTTCTGATATTCTCTCATGGTTCTGCCTGTCTGAAGTCACTTACCCTCTCGCAGCCGTTCCGCCGCAGCCATCTTCTGTGTGATGCAGCCCGATAGGCTCAGCCTCCAGGCTCAGGTGTGCCCACTCATGCACACCCAAACCACACCCCAGGTGTCCTCCATCAGGCATGCATACACCAGGCACATTCCCAGGTGCCTCCTGTCCTGCACTAGCACAATAAAGGTTGCAGGTGATAACCACAGAGGCCAATGACTTCAAAGCCTGACTGACCAATCCACTTAC